CCCCATTTTTCCTTGCTTGTGTGTCATGTTTTTATGTTCCTTGTGCCCTCTTCGAGATGAAGTGGGGGGCTTTCTTGTGCTTCTGATGTAATTTACCTTATTTTGAGGACAGGGAGTTGTTTTCATTCCACCAAGCATCTTATCTGCTTCTTTTGCCCTTGACATTGCCTGCTCTATATCCTTTGATCTTATCTTACCCTGGTAATACAACTGTACCACACCTGTGTGCCTTTATGGTTACCTATTTTATATTTATATTTAGCTGAGCTACGAACAGCTTATATGTTATTGCTGGCTATGCTATTAGTAGTGTTAAAATACTGCAAAATGCTTATACACTGTCACCTGGTACTTATCTACGAATTTCTGCAGCAAAGGTGGTTGTGTGTTTTCTTGGGCTAATAAATACATGCCTTTTACTTGAGCTAATAAATAGACTTTTGGAACACTTTATGGTTTTCTACATATCCTTGATTGAGCTATAAGATCAAAAAATTATAGAAGCCTCAGGCAAAAGAGGAAAAGTCTTTCCCCTTCTTTCAAAATTGGAATAAAAATGAAGGAGCCTTTTTATGGATATATATATTTTTTTTAAATTCTCTTGCCAATAAAACTTTGGAAAAACTTACTTGTCAACCCCGTCTAGATGTTTTCAGGTCTCTACTCTGTAACCTTGGACAAACTGCAGACTGTCTTCTGTGTTTGCCAACTGTGAAATGTTCTGTGGGAGAGCTGTGTTTTACAGGTGCTGTCAAAGTGCCCCAAATTTCGCACTGGGGGATGTGGGAGTAGACAGGAGGCAAAGAATCCCTAAGACGGATGTTGAAGTTCAGCCCTTAGGAGGGGTCTTCATTTTGCATCCAAAACTTGTTAGAATGACATACATTTAAAAAATATTTTTTATTTCTATTTTCAGATTTTTCTGCTTCAGCTGATTCGAAAGTTGTAGTACTTACAGTTAATTCTCTGGGTAATGCTCAGACTTATCTTGATGTCATACAAAGCAATGTGGATTTGTTCAGAGGAATTATCCCAGCAATATCACACTACAGTCAGAACACTGTTCTCCTTGTTGCTTCTCATCCAGGTATGTTGGTACTTCACCTAATGTTCTGTCCCTCGGCTGGTTTCCTCTTTGGCCTGTTGAAAAAAATGTTACTGCTGAATACACTCACTTAGTCAAAAATTCTTGCTACTCTGAAAGATGTTTTCCTTTTCAGCTTTGAGCAGGACACTGTCTTTGAGGGTTTTTTCTTTACTGTTACCAAGATAAAAGAAAATAGTATACTTTGTTTTGTATAAAAGGTATGTATTTATGTTTCTGTACATAGTTTCAACCTGATTGTATCTACAAGATTAGCATACATTGGCTGTCGTCTTGTCAGTTGTGAGTTTTATGTGTATGTGTTTCACCTGTGCAGTAAGGATAGATGCATGTGTGTTATGTGCCACATGATCAGACTCACAGACTACTAATATATAATATAGTGTTGATAGTAAATAGTGCAGCTGTGTTTTGGTGGAAAGTTTAAATCTGTTGGGTCAGTGATACCATGAACTAAGACAAAGCAAAAACCCTAATTAAAAGGGAAAGAAGGAAGTGTGAGCCTCTCTATCCTGTTAATGTACTGAAGAAAGCGCTCTCCTGTGTCTCAAGTGCTTCTTGCTCTTCCTATTATTTAGAGCTATGGAGATGGAGAAGAGAGTGCTTGCCAAATGAAAAGAAATTAAACACTGGCTGAATTAAATTTAGAAGCATGTGAGATTTTTGGTAGAGGGAAGCATGGTGACTCATTCTGAAGTTTCACTTCTCTTAACTTTACCTGGACTGTGAATTTTCTTCACCTCCTCCCCACCTGACTTGGTGTGTTAGGTTGAAGTAAGCATGTAAGAACATATCAGTAGTTTATACCTTTTCTAAAGTTAAAACAACTTGTTCCAGAGTTTTTTATAATTGTGATTTGTAGTTTGCAGTTGTGTTTAATTTTGAGTGGTCCTTTATTGTCACCATATTTTTTCTTTCACATATAGTTGAAGTAATGACCTTTGTGTCATGGAAGCTGAGTGGATTTCCCAGAAGCAGAGTTATTGGAGTAGGTGCCAACCTTGATACTGAGAGATTTCAGTATGTACTGACAAACCTTTTGAAAGAACAAATGCTGGCGAAAGATGCTTGGATTATTGGTGAACAAGGGGAAGACAAAGGTAAAGTGATACTTTATTATGACTATGTGTATGTAATGTCCTGGCAGTGCTTAAGTAATTGAGTAATGAAGGAATAATTGAGAAAAATAATGAAGGTAGTCATAAGCAGGGTGGTAGACTTTCAAAAATAATGATTCTAAATAATACAGTTCTGGTGTGTGCCCAAGACTGTAGACCTGGAGTGGTAGCAAAAGGTTAGACGTACTGAGAGAGGAAGGAAATGTGGTATATATGGTAGGTTACTGCTAATGTAAGAATTATTATGTATTACTTAATTTTTTAGCAAATGCCTCTGTCCATGTGCTATTGTAGAGTTTATTTAAGCAGTCCATGGAACATTAGAAGGTCATCAACTGCATTTGGGTGGCTGTGGAGGCAGGAAAGTTTGGAAAGCTTGAATTTATTTATTTTTTCTTCTCCTCACCTGATAGCTATTTTAGTCACTGTTTAGATGTTCATTTAAATGTTGTTTGTTTCTATTTAGTACCATCATGGACCAGTTGTAATTCTGTTGCAAATCAAACAGAAGCAATGGCTGCTTGTAACTCAAGAGAAAAGGTGGCTAACAGGTAATCCTGTTATACTCTAAAGGTTTTTTTCATCAAGTTTATGCACTTGATGTTTGCAGAGCTTTTTCCTTCAGCTCTTTATAAAGAGGAGGAAGTTTGCTCTAAAAGATTCAAACATGGAGTTTATAGGAAATTGAAGGTCTGGGTGTCAGCCACTTATATATATGTGTATATGCCCCTATTTTTCTGAAGATCTTAATGTTGTGCCTGTGGCAATCTAAGGACAAGACACACTTTGTAGAATATACATTAGAATATTAGAGCTGTGAGTATGATTGTGTGTTTTGGAAAAAAAAAAAGGTAGACAAGCCTTCTGGCACACTTTCCTCAGTTTGCGTGGAACAGTTCACTTCAAAGCAAAGCACAAGTTTGGATTAATTCACCTGATTTAATTAGCTACATATCAGTTACACCTCTTGACAGAAAAGGGAATTGTTACTAATGTGGGTAAACTGTACATAAATAAATTCTTTAAAGCAATTCTTAATGCCCTTACGTTGTTTTCCAAAACAGAGAATCATCTTTTTATAGTACACATTACCTGATATGATATGCTTAATCTGTCTTTTGGGTTTTACATATAAACCAAAATGAGAATAATTAAAATCTAAACATAATGTTTTTCTCCTTTTCTTGGTTTATATAGAGCTATGGAAGTTCTAAAGGGGAAAGGTCAGAGATCTTGGTCTATTGGGCTCTCAGTTGCTGATTTGACTGACAGTATACTGAAAGATAAAAGAAAGGTTCATTCTGTGTCCACTCTGGCAAAGGTAAATGTGTTATTAAGATCTTTGGATTGGCACTGTAATGATATGACCATTAATTTTAACAGCACAGACATCTCAAAGTAACTGTTGTGAAGTAGCACTATTTTGGTTACTTTTTTTTTCCAGAAACAGCTTTCAATTCTAGTCCAAAAATGAGCAAAGATCAATTATTGTGTTATTCCAAAAACAGTATTAAAACTGGATTATTTTCCCCAAAATATGAGAGTCCAGAGGGAAAATACATTCAGGGGGTTGCTGACCAACTCCCCTCAAATAGCTGGATTTGGCAAAAGATAAATGTGTCACAGTTTCCAAGTGCTCAGTATTGAATGTAGGTTTCTCCAGAGGCCAAAAGAGTTCAGTATCTTTTATGAAAGTTATAAAATGCATTTCCTGCCAGTATTTCACCAGCTTTTAAACAGCTGCTTTTTTACTCCTTGATGCTTTACATTGAGGAGAAGATTTGAAGCTGTATTTAACTTAAAATTATAGACTGAACCTTGTTTAAAGTTTATCCTAAGAGGCTTCATTAAAGCATTAATAAATCATATGAGGAAAAAACCCGTGTAGAAACATGTACTTGTCACTTCCATTTGCAGGTTTCAGAAGGGTGACTTGCATGTCCCAGTGCAGGGTAGCTGAGCAGGCTGTTTATTGTGTCAAGTACAGACATATACTTAATTTCATCATTATGTTTTCAAGTAAAGTTTTTAATCACTTATGAACTAAATGCAGATACAGGGAAGCAACAAGTCTCATTCTGTAGTTATTCTGCAGTTTGTAAAATCTCCCATACAGATCCTAAAAATAACAAAATCTACAGTGTAAACTTGAATTACAGGGATATAAGTTTAATGGAGTCTCTCACAGAATGAATATGGGATCAATAGCTGAAAAATATTCCCTAGATAGCTCCCTTTGGCTGCATTTTAAAATTTCTTTTCTTCAGTCCTAAAACAGCTAATGATACTGTACTGTCAAGTGTATCTGCCTATTCTACATAAGAAACTGGTTAAACAGTGTTTTGTAGTATGAACTTTGCCTGCATTATGAAGGTCTGGTACACCTATATTGGAAACTCCAAGTGTGGCATGGTTCAACATTTTTTTTTTAATCTGTACAGTAATATTTTATAGTTTCTGTACAGTAACACATTGCACAGGATCTAAAATAACTGGAATTTGACCTGTGCAAAACATGCCATATGATGGAATATCCTTGCTGAATTAAAGTAATCAAGTTATTTTGTGTAGTTCCATGCTTGAGACAGAGTAGAGATAAGTAACTGTGTGAGAGTGTTCTTTTGTGTGTTGTTTCAGGGATGTTGCAATATAAACAGTGAAGTATTCTTAAGTCTGCCATGTATTCTTGGAACCAGTGGAGTGATTGAAATGGTCAAACTAGAAGAAGATCCACTAGTGCAAGAGAAACTGCAAAGCAGCGCAGGATCAATTCATGACCTTCAGCAGCAGCTGAAATTGTAAGCAAGCACAAGGGAAGCGCAGTATCTACTCAAAAAAGTCAGAGATTTGCTAGGCAGAAAGGGTTGCTTGGTATATATGGATTTCTATGTAAAACAAGAAGCTTTTCTACTTTATTTTTCAAAAGTGCTTTCTTAGTTTTGGTTTAAATTGTTTAATAGTACACTGCACATGAATTTCTTATTTGAAAAATGTGCTTTGGGTAGCCAAAACAAGGAGGGTAACATGCAAGAATGTTTTACCTAAATTCAGGTGTCTTTTGCATGGTTTTTTTTGTTGCTAATTATAGCCCGATTCTTGGGTTATTCTTAGCTCTTTGCACCTCACTAGGATACAGTCTAGGAGAGCACCTTACACAACTCTGTGGAAACTCCAGTGTGCAGAGCTCACTAGAACTTTTCCTCCTGGTTTTTAAGTGCTGCATCGGGCTTGTCTGGAATGTGGTCACACTCCGTCTCTTTGGGGCACCAGGGGATGCAGTTTGGTAGCTCAGTCTTTCGTGCCTATCACAGATGCTCTTATGTCGATGGACTCCTGCTTATTACTAAGGGGAAAAAAGCTAAAAGCATGGCGTTAGCATGCCTGAAGGCTCTGTTGTATGTTTAATGATGTCTGAGACTTCTGGTCATAACTTGTTTGCTCTTATTTTGTAAGGATGTTTAGAGCACCAAAGCACCTGCAGTTCTCAGTACACACAGGCAACACTTCACCTGTTCCAAGGCTACACAGGGTCCCTTCCTGAAAGGGAGGAGCAGGGGGTGATCTTCAAATAAAGAATAAAATCTGACAGTTAAGTAATGCAGAAGTATCTGCAAATTCAGGCCTTGATCCAAAGCCAGCTGATGTCAGTAAGCTTTACGTCAAGGCAACAGCACCTGTAACCTGCCTTGGAGAGGCCAAGGATGTGGTGAAAAGGCAGGATGTGGATTTTCAGATAAATCAAAAAGCAGAATTTTTTTTTAAAAATAAAGGGAGTTTTGGTTTCTTAGCTCTTGATTCACTGCACTGTATTTGATAGATATATATATATATATATAGAGAGAGATAGATATATAGATATATATAGATATATATATATATATGACTGTCCTGATCATACCTCAGCATCATAATGCAGGCAGAGGTGCAGTGTAAGAATGTCACTCCATGCTTTAGGTTTTGAGGAGTGACTGGTTAAATACTGATGAAGCTTTCTAAGCAAAAGTAGGATCTTTGTCAAAGCCAAAGATCTATTCCTTTATGCCTTCTGGCTGTATCTCGCAAAGAGCCAGACTTGCAAGGAATTCTGAGTTTATATTGATCAAGTAATACAAAAATAGAAAAAAAAACTTAAGTAGGGTTAGTTGGCTGGTGTTTTTTTTTCAGGGTGTATTCAACTTTCCTCCTTTGTGGTGGTCATTGTTAGGACAAAATTAGTGATGACTGTAGGTGGAGAACTTTGTTTCTCTGTTAAAAGCACTCAACACAAGGCTTAGACTTTTTTGTCTTTGGAAAAAGCAGCATAAAATTACGGTTTTACACTGTTCTTCAAGGTGTTGTGTTTAATCTGTTGAGCATTTATTCCTGTGAATGGTCGAGGTGTTTTATTTGGGTTTTTTTTTATTAAGTTTTAATCATGAAAAGCTGCGAACTCTTCCAGGGGTGTTTAGGTTGATGCTTCTAACGCTGGCTCATCACTTGTGTGTTTGTCGTATTCCGTGAGAAATAACCAAAGGACCGGGGCTCTGCTGGGAAGTGGCACTTTACATTCGCGTAGGGGAAGGTGATTCCCAGAAACACTTTTTAACAATAAACGGCACTACAACCCATTTTTCACACAGTCTCGGAAGTGTTTGGGATACACAAAGTACTGCCGGAGCAGCGGCAGCGCCGCCCCTCGCCCTCTGCCGGAAGTGACGTCAGGGCCGGCCGGAAGCGGGGTGTCGCGGCCGGAAGCGGGGTGTCGCTGCCGCTTCCGGGGTTTTTATGTAGGGGCGGGGAGGGGCGGCTGGGCCAGGCCGGGCCGGGCCGGTGCGCGGGGGCGGCGGCGGCACCGGGAGCGGCGGACGGG